AGTTGGGCGAGGTTGAAGTTGTTGCCGAAGTAGAATGGGAAAACCTATTCTTATTTTATTTTTTTTTGTGACCGTCCGGTATGGTGGTTAAGGCGATGAGGCACAACAAAAAACGAGTTCGAGTCCCGCCAGGGGTGTCGATGAGGCCAGTTCCGACGAGGTTGAAACTGCAGCCCAGTCCCGTTTAGTCGTGATAAGAATATCTTTTAGGAAGCAAGACTAAGTGAATAATTGAATGGAAATGTGGGAAAACTCAACTGCTACTGCTCCATCCCCCTAAACAAAGTTGAGTGAATTCATCTCACAGAATGAGAAGACCTTTTGTAGTTCACAGTCATGTGGTGACGAGCAGCTCAAACGGTTTGGACACACCGAAAGTTCCAACTTTTACTGCATTTATCCGAATTGAGTAGTACTTCGAGGCTTGCATTTTCCCACAATCATATGATTAAGTTCCACGTTTCCACTGAATTTCACATGGCTTAGATCCCTAAAACGTCTTCTCATCCAGGCTGGAGTGAACTGCAATTTCGACCTTATTAGATGAAATAGGATGAACCTATCTCATGTGTATGATCTGAATCTGCTGATAAACGAAAAATGTCCCCCAATCTGAAGAGTAGTCATGACAGTACACCACTTCATCCCGATTGGACCAAATTGCACTTTCGTCCTCGCCTCACTAAGACTCAACTCCGGCTCGTGAGTATCTTGGCAACACTAAGATTCCAGTGCTCACTCACAGGTACCAGTAATTAAGGTCTTTTGCAGATCATATTTTATTGTCAGAGTGTTGACTGCTCAAACGTCTATTTGCCATCGCAATCAACGATGCTACTTATTTTCGATATAAGTAGTCGTCTGGACTATCACTTGTTTTTTGAACATGAATTGAATCAGGCTTTGCGTGATTTAAGGACTGTTAGTTGATTTCCCTACAATTGGATGAAGCGGTCATACATTCCCAAACTGCCATTTCATCCCGACTGAACCAAACTGTAGTTTCGATCGCGCCTCACCGTCCCTCATCAACACGCCCAACGGGATTCGAGCCCGGGTCGTGAGTATCCTGGCGATGGTACCACAGCACTACACAGCCACAAATGTCATTGGATGACTGAATTTATTTGATATTCAAGACAATCAAAACTCACATTTACAGTGGGATTGCCGATCAAGCAGACAGGCCATTGTAATAGACGACGTCACTTATTTTCGTTGTAAGTAGTTTTCGAGACCATCTTATTCAGGAATTACGTATAGTCACGAAAACTACTTTCGCCGCTAAAGTAAGCGGATCTTTTCGAGTTAGAGGCTTCTTTGACCTATTCAAGTATTTAAGCATATTTTTTTAACTGGTCTGCTTTTATCGAGGCTTTTGCTTCTGTCGTGTTGATTGCCTCTGTGAGTCAAGCATCCGATTTGCTTGCACCAAGCATATTTCAATTTTTGGCAAAAGTTTCCCAAAATTGTTGATTGAAGCTGCTCTTTGAAGTTGATATTGACTGTCCGGGTGTCGAAAATATGCATATTACGCTGTAAAGTGAAGACGAAACAGTTGATGCTATGTCTCTCTGGCTATTTTTTGCGTTGCCTTGACAAGACAATTGTCGAATTGGAAGATGTCTCGACAACGAACGGACAAGTTGTGCTCCGATTTTGGCTTCAGGCGGCCTCCAATTCTTCGTGCGCATATCAAACAGTCGGGCAGAGTTTTGGTGTTTCTATCACGTCAAAGAGGCGTCCTTACAGACACGACATGCGCATTGGAGGCATCGGAAACGATAAACCTCCATCCAATGTGCAAACAAAATGACAATAAATATGGATATAGAAGATAAATGTTGACTTTTTCTAGGAATATTCCATACATGGAACACCTTCCAGACAAAGTCAGTCTTCTCATAGTTCACATGTCGATTAACCCAATATAGGTTTGCCATTGCTATTGACGACA